TCAGTCCTGAATATTCATTGGAAAGACTGATGCTAAAGCTGAAACTCCAATACTTTGGCCACCTGATGTGAAGAATTGACTCATTTGAAAAGACCCTGATGCTGGGAAAGGTTGAAGGCAGGAGAAGGGGCTGACTGAAGATGAGGTGGTTGGACGGCATTGCTGACTCAATGGACATGAGTTTGAGTAAAGTCTGGGAGTTGGTAATGGACAGGGAGACCTGGTGTGGTGAAGTCCATGAGGTCGCAAAGAATTTGACATGACTGAGGGACTGAACTGAATTGAACTCACTTCTTCTAGTGAGAAGAAGACCAAATAAGCTAAAAGCAAAAACAAAGCAAAGTCATGTGCATATTTAGTGTACCTGAAGTCTGGAGTTTTGTATTATGACTCTGGAGGTTCAGAAAATTATAATATGTAATTGTATTGTGTTTTATAGCAGAACTCTATTGTATTAATAGTACAATTGACCTATATATGACACTCAGGCAATTGGATATTGAGTTTGTACTGTAAATCCATGAATTCCTTGCTAATAATCTATTATGTACTATAAATTTTATACTTCATATATACCTTTCTATATTTTATTGGCAAAGAAATAGTGATTTGATTTGGTTTTATCTTATTTTAACTAGAAATGGATAAAAAAGTTTAAGATTTAATATAAAATGAAAAGGAGAACAACTATTACTATTTTGTTAGAACTATTACATATGCATTTGAGTTTTACCTAAAATATGTTGATTCAACTTTTTGTATAAGTTTTTGTTTGGTGAAAAAAATTTCCTTTATTAGTTGGAAAACTCTCTCTAGGATTATTATAAGGCCACGCTTTTGGAATTATGAATTTTCTCATGGTGCTTCAGTACAACTTTAGAACTCTTAGATATGAGTGACTAAATTAGCATAGGTTCCAGTCTACACATCTCCCCAAAAGTACTAATCCTATGAGATTTGTAATGGGGAAAAATGGTTTCCATGATCAAAATCTTTTGGAATATGCTAAATTCCAAGTACCTTGGAGATCTGTAAAGCACTTTTATTAAAATATGAGGTGATGGTATTCACTGAGAGTTTAATATGTGCTATTATTGCATTTAACCTTTGTCGTGACTCTCCTGGGGGTAGTTTAGTTGTGGGTGCTGTCATTAACCCTAATAACAAGGAAGGAAACTGAGGCCAAAGAACTGGTCATATGTTCAAAGTCACACTATAAGATGATGGAGAAAACTCTCTGACTTCAGAGCTCATGCTCTTAAATCTGAAGCCATATGCTCAAAATAATAATGTATGAAATGTATGAAACATTAATATGACTTTTATGTTAGTTATATTTCAGTATTGATATTAACCTGTTAAAAGCTTTGAGGATTAATGCAGTAATGCATCTCTTTAACTTGGCTTAATTCAGCATTTCTAAATCAGGTTTGGTTATAGAAGGCTTACAAATTTTAGTGAAAATTATGTCCCACAGAATACAGTTTGAGAAATGCAGATATAAGCTATAGTTTTGCAGTAGATGAGGAGCCAGGATGGAAGTAACTTTTCAGTATTTCTCTGGCCACTTGCTCCAAATAACTGCGAGTGCCTTTCCGAGGCAGACTATCACTCAAGGATTCCACTTGACAATTTGGAATGGGCAGTAGTAGCAAGCAAACACCTGATATCTTTGCTGCTGCAGATGCCCAGAGCACAGGAACCCTTCCCACAAATGTGGATTACGTAGTATATCCTGCACAGGGAGTGAGCTTAATTAAGTTAAGCTACAAGGTTGAGTGAAAAACAGCATGCTGCTGTTATTGTTGAGTCAATTAAATTGTCCTCTGTGCTCATAGGAACTGTTCCACATTTATTACCAGTGAGATATACGCTCCGGCAGTTTCTTTGCTTCGGATTGTCTTATATTTAGCACATCTAAAGATTTGAGAACGGATGATGGAAGACATGGTGATAAATTGTCGGGCTTTTCCAAAGATTCAGAAGTTCTAAAGTTCCTGCCAGTGACAGGTGGTCTGTCCTTACTCATCGCTTGTCTTTCTGACAGGACTTGATTTTTTTCCCCCTTTTTTGTTCAATTTTCTTAAAGTAAGCTAAGCTGCTTGGGAAGTAGGATAGTCTCATTTGTTATAACTACGTTGATGTGAAAGCAATTCTATATCAATTTGAACCTGCCTCCCTCTATGTTATTAATGTGTATATGTGTAGTGATAAGCGAGAAGCATGGGACAAGAGGGGAGAGAAACAGATGACCAAGAAAAACCCCTATGTCCTTTATTCCTGTTATATTGTAACCAAACCTACTAGTTAAACCATTGGTTAATCTTTTCTTACTGCCAGTGTCTTTTGATAGCCCAAGCATCACGTGATCTTTTGGGCAGTTCTTATTATTATATGATAATACAGTATACATTATTTTTAGGACCTTTATTATTTCTTAACAACCAACAAAAGTTTAAATTTGGGATTAAATAGTATAGTTAGGTTGACATAACTTGCTAGACATTTATACAAGTCCACAGAATGAAACCAAACAACTATAACAGTGATGGATTTAGATATAAAATAAGATCCCACTAGAAAAGTAAAAGGGAATAAATATTTCAATCAAGTTGCTTAATCCATTTCATTGGCTTCAAATATGTTTATTGCTAAAATAGGAAATGTGCTACTCAAGTAAGGAAGATAAGAAAAAGAAACAATTTCTCTCTTCTGAGTTCTAGTATGTTGTTTAGTTGCTCAGTCGTGTCCAACTCTTTTGCAACCTCATGATCCTGAGACCAGCCAGGTTCCTCTGTCCATGGGATTTTCCAGGCAAAAATATAATGCAGTAAGTTGCCATTTCCTACTCCAGGGGATCTTCCTGACCCAGGAATCAAACTGGTGTCTCCTGAAAGTCTCCTGCATTACAGACAGACTCTTTAACCACTAAGCCACTGGGAAAGCCCCTAGTATAAGTGTAAATGAATAGGAAGACTCAAAATATTCTAGAATGTCTTACAAATCTTCTTAATCCTTTGTCCAGATGTATTACTAATTCAGTCCTTCAAGCTGCTAATGCAGTTAGTTTGATACATTACTTAGGCTAAAATATATCAAATGGAAAGTGATTAATATTAATAGAAACTTAAATTATTGATAGATACATTGATTTAGTATTTATAATTATTTGATATTTGTTATCTACAAAAACAACTGAGAATTTCTTTTTATGTAAATATGTCTTTCCTAAGAGTGTTCACCTTAGCTCCATTTGATTGGGAAAAACATAAACAACATTATTATCACTCCTTTTTACCTTTTCTTTTAACTCTACTGTAAAATTTATTTCTCTGGAGATATATGAATATATTAATATATATACATATTACACACTAGTATAGATATAATAGTAGGTCATATATAGAAATCAACATAATATATAAAATACACTTAATATAAATAGATGTATATCTTTTTATAACACTTGTTTTTGTATAACACTTTTTATTGCTAATAAATTACTGGTGATAGTTTACCTAAGATGATTAAAGTAAAGTAATTATTAAATAGAAATAATGAATGCCATTACTGGTATAACATCACTTTTTAAGCTAAAATTGAAAACTGCCATTGGTCATACTTTCTGCATTGTTTCTCCTAAAGTTGAACATGTATGTATTTTGAAAGCAATAATAATGGTATAGCTTAAAAATAGATCACATGTCCTCACTTCTATGATAAGATATTATCAAGGCACCTTAGTAAGGTCATAGGAATCTATGTGATGATATATATGGAAATAGTATAAAATTTATACCAAAATTTTAAAAATATTCTGCAAATAATTATATACTTGAGAAAGTATTGACTCACATAAATGTATTTCCAATTGTGTTTTTCATGATTCAATGGATATTTCAGTAGGCATTTCTCAGTAGGACAAACACTAACCCCCAGAAGAAATTTATGCGTTGCGTATGTGTTAGTCGCTCAGTTGTGTCCGACTCCCTGCAACCCCATGGACTGTAGCCTGCCAGGCTTCTCTGTCCATGGATTCTCCAGGCAAGAATACTGGAGTGGATTGCAATTTTCCTCTCCAAAAGTAATTCATACTTTATAACAAGTCCTTGCTATTTATTAGAAAGCATCTTCATTTAAAACCTGATCTTTTGGTGTTCCTGCTGAAAATGACACAGCAATGTCTTATAAAACAATCTAACCTAACATTTATCTATATGTTCCATGGCATGAATCATAAGAACATGTCTTAGGATGTTCATGATAAAGTTGGATAGAATGGAAATGCATTGCAGTAGGGTTTTGCAATGCAATTTTGGCCTAAGCCAAGGATAATTTAGAATCAATTTATTCAAAGCTATTCAATCAAGATTGCTACCTATACATAGTTTACTTTTCCTTTTACATAAGTTTTCTTTCTGCTCATATTGTTAGCAAAACTACTGAAATTAACCAACTATAACTTGTGCTAATATAATGTCCATCACTTTTAGTCTTTTCATTCGGGTAATTTTACAGTTGGATCTCCTCAATACATATAACCAAAACTTTTTAGAACATGGACATTTTACTTTGTCAAGTTCAAGTTCAAGTTCATTTGAACTTTGTCAAGTTCAAGCCAGATTATGGAGGGATATGTACTTAGATATTTATTAGGTAGATGATACAAGATCATCAAAGCTTTATTTGGACTAGGAAATTCAATGCAAATTCTACTCAGTTAAATCACAAAAACAGTATTATTTGTCTTTTTTCATTTGAAGGTTTTGTTTTTCTAGGCTATTAAACTTTATTTTCAAATTAGAGAGTCTACACTGAACTTACAAGATGAACACAAAACTTCTACCATGTTTTACTGTAATGGTTTTCTGTTTTCAATTGACTAAAAAAGACCTTTCCAACATGTGATATATTTTTGTCATTTGTCAAGTATATCTCTTTAGTTTGGTTTGTTTTTCACAATTAATGCTGACTGATACCTGGTTTCTTTTCTATTCCAGGTTGTGGAGACTAATTTGGTTGCTTTTGACTGTCACTGGATCATTATAAATGAGGTAAATCTAACTGAACCTTACTGTCAACTCTGAGTCCTATTTTCATATGTATAGTCACAGCGACAGCCTTGAATTTCTAACAGGAAACAGAACACAGAGTAAACTTTCAGCTCACTGAAAGGATGCTGTTAAATAAAATAGAATAAGGAGTTTTTGCAAATTATAAAGGGCTTTGTTTGAATAAAATAGAGACCGTCTTCCCCACTGAGTATCTTTTAGCCTTTTCCGTTGGCACACACTGCCTACATCAGAGATCATTTTTATAAAAAGTACAGTTCTTCTTTGTAAGCAAAGTGAATTCCTCCCAGTGGAGGGCCTGTGTTCCATTTATATTTTACTGTTGTTTCTAGAACTTTTATATCCCACCCCCTTACAAGTGGATTAAATAGTTCCTTACATGAATATGAATAAATAAGAGCAGATTGTTTTGCTTTTCATAAAGAAACACAACTGTTTTAAAATCCACCAACTTGTCAAATTTCTTGTGAAAGATTTTTTTTTTTTTGCAAAAACAATGCATAATATTAAAAATACAGTATTACAACACGAGAGCCCTGTGAAGTAAGTTGTTCCATTAGCACCTGCCAGTCAGAGTTAGAAAGGAAAATGAGTAGATCATTCAGGGCCAGATAATGAGATAAAGATCTAGTGTTCAGTGGATCTATTACTTATGGAAAAAATAATGTGTTGTTTATCAAGTGATACTAATGTTGAATTATAGAATAATAAATTTTATCTTAGGAGCAAAGTAGCATTTTTGGCAAGAATTCTAGTCTTGAATTCAGCAAGATAGGCTCAATCCTGACTTTGAAATTGGTTCATAGCTGTGTTACTATGGATATATAATAAAATATCCTGTGCCTCAGGGATTATTTGTTAGTTTGTACCATATGTATAACAACATTTACTTTACCAGCTTTTAATGAAAATTAAGTGAAATATTATTGAATGTTCTCAACATGGTGTCTGACAAATGACACTCAGTAAATGATACTGCAATAATGATCAGAGGACATTAAAAGTTCACAGATCACTTACTCACATATTTTGTTGAATAATAAATAGTGTTATGAAGTATTAAGGAAATAGGGTCTTGCCTTTCCTTGTACAGAGAAATAAAAATGATTCTTAGTTTCAAATTATTTCTCCTACAACACCCTCCATTGATGAATTTTAGCTCTCTTGACGGTTCTTTTTTGTTCAGTTTAAAGGCACTGGAAACGTTTTACAAACCTGTTTTTGGCCTGCCAGACTTTGAGTCTATATGATGTGTCAGTGTATTTCTTATGTCAGATTAAGATGTGTTCTTCAGAGATCCCCACAGATAATATGTGTATGTCAGATCTACTTTTCAATGTAGTTTTTAAGTCAATCTAGAATGACTAAACATCAGGATGGATTAAGGGAAAAGGGAGACAACAAACCAACCACATACCTAGAAATACCTTTTCTAAGTACTTTCATCTCTTTTGTTCCCAAAGAATCTAAGATTCAAATAAATCGAATGATTTGTCAAATATTACACAACTATTAACTGGTAATAATGGGATTTAAAACCTAGTTTTTACCAGTCTGAAGTTTTGGTTGCTGTTGCTTTTTTTTTTTTATAATTTTCCTTATAGATTATATTTTTGAAATTTATGCTCCTAAATTTCAATCATATAGGAACCAGTAAGTTTTCTTTTACTTTTTGTCTTTAGCTTAATGTTTTCTGGATTACTATTTTTTGAAATAGAGAATCCTCCTAATTTCTTGTTTTTGTTTCACACCCACCTTATGATGGGGAATAGGCCACACAGCTTTTTTGATATGAAACAAACTGGAGCTGTTTTACTTGTTTGTGTCAATATCGATGACCAGGGGGGAAAAGTGATTTCTTGCCTCTTTAGAGACATGGATTAATCAAACAAATTAACACTTATAATTGATAAATGGAAATGCCCATTCCTTTCTATTCTTTGGTAAGTTGCAGAAAGGACCCCTGAATTAACTTTTTTACCGTATTCAACTTAACTTCTAATGTTATCCTTGCATCTTGAAAATGTGAACCCAAGTAGAGAGAGCTTCCCATGACACCAATGACCATCTGTCTACTGCTTGCTTGTCAATTTGTGCTATGGAAGAAATTGCTTTTTCATATTATAAAGAGGAAGTTTGAGTAGTATGTATTTCATTTATGGTGACTATCATGGAAAGAGCAATAACTTATATTACTATATCTTTCATAAAGATTGTAACTCATTCTGTTAAACTTCCCATTAAGTTTTATTTCATAAAATGTTAGAGCAAGTGATGTCTTTCAACAATTGTTTCATAATTTGAGTCCCTACTTTACAAAAAAAAATTCACACAAAAAACAATCTAACTCACTAATAACTCAAAAAATATTAGAAGTATAGAACACAGTATAGAAAACCTCGGTTATTTTCTCATCCACATGTTAGCTTCCCACTGTAAATTGTTATAAGTATAGCTTCACTTTTACCATTACTGAAACCCTTATCTCTTTTTTGTTCACAGTCCTCCTTACTAGTCCTTGAGCAGAGATGTAATTTTAGGCAGAGCAGGTCTTTGAAAAATCTCATGGTCATAGCCCACACTGTTTACATTGGTTATTATATTTTTTCCCTAAACTAGGTTAAAAAAAATCAGAGATCAAGCATATTTTCTGTACTTTCATCCCTAAGAAATATCATCCATATATGTATCTGTGCTCAGCCCTCTTAATTCTACATGATTCCATCCAACTACCTCATTCTCTCTGAAATATGCCTCAGAAAACTTGAGTCTCACTACCTTTCTTTCTTTTATAGGTCTATTTATAATGAATGAATCAAAATTTATCTTAATTTCCATAAAATAAGAAACATGAATTCCTCAAGTTTTCTAGGAAAATAATAAACTCTAAAAGGAGCAACAACAACAACAAAGTCGAACAACTTGCAAATGCCCATTTTGTTTGAGCATGGAAATTGTGAATCTGATTAGTGTGGTTTGTGTAGCTACTATTTTGTTGCTAATTTTAAAATGGGTTGCAAACATTTACTTAATCTTATTGTACCAACAGTTTCTCAAAGAGAAACTATAAATCAAAGTTGGCATTGTGCATCATGATACAAATTGATGCTGAAGCTTGAAAACAGTATAGTTGTTTCATTTGCATCAACTGTGCTATAATAATGAGAGGCTATGCTAGTTCATATGGTGTAATCAATCATATTAGTAGTTGGAAAGATATTTATCTTTTCCCTGCAATCAGGTGATCCAGCAGAGAACAGCCTTTCCTTATAAGTATTGTCATCCCTTCAGGGTCCCGAAGCAGATGGCCTAGCACTTTATTTAAGTTTTACAAGTTAGAAATTCAGATAGGAAGATATACATACATAAATACATATTAGAAGTATAGAACACAGTATAGAAAACCTGTTCTTTTCTTATTCACATGTTAGTTTCCTACTATAAATTGTTATAAATGTAACCACTTTTACTGTTACTGAAACCCTTAGCTCTTTTATACCCACAGCCCTCCTTACTAGTCCTTGAGCAGAGATGTAATTTTAGGCAGAGCAGGTCAATACCACTTAGTGTTTCAATACCACTTAATGTATATATATATTTATATATACACACTGTTTAGAGCAGCAAAAAGTGTAATGCTATATGTAGTCTTCTATTCCCTGATGATACTAAGCCTGACCCTTGGTGTCCTGACTTCTTATTTAAATACTGGTTTTTTAGTTTAAGCCATTATTCTCTGCTAATCACTGCTTAGTTCTGCAGTTAAGAAGTTGTTGTTGTTATTGTTGAGATTTGAAAGCGTGTAATGAATATTTTTCATTTTTCTAATTTGGTGATTAATTGAACTGCTCTCTACTAATCTGTCAAGCAGAAAGTTGACATTCTGTTCCTCTTTCCACTCATAGTCTGCGGTTGGTTTTGTTCCATGTTTCATGATATTTGTATAATAATTTCACATTACTGTTAAACTTTATGGAAGCATCAAAGGATCTTTTTTGTTAAAGTATGGAGACCATAAACATACCAGCAATACAACAATAAGCATAATCTTTTCAAATTACACTACCTAGCACACTGCTTCATATCATTACTAAAATCTGCTTTATTTATAATAGATAAAGTTATTAAAGCACCCCGGTGTCTCTACGTAAAGTTTCAGGGATCTATCTTTTGAAGATGGTTTGCTGAAATCTTGCCATTCATTCAGTTTTTTATTTGACATGCATTTAATGAATACCTACTATAAGCCAAGAACTTCATTAGATATTAAGAGATAAAAGGATAGGGAAGCAGGAAGGGATCCTATTCTGAAATAGTTTATATAATATAGATTGGCATCCGATCTAATAGATTTTGAGAGTCTTTCCTTCCTTCAAATTCTATTAACTTAAGCTTAAAGCTGATATCCTACAAGGATTCAGGAGTGATCCAATTCTCCTAAAAGATTTGTTCTGGAAATTGGCTGTTTCTGGTGGAGTTTTAGACCTACCAGATATTTTAGCTTTCCCCCATTCAGAGTTCACCCTATGTTAAACTATCACAGTAAAGTGAATAAGAATCTTTTCTCAAAAATATTGATTTGACTCTTGATAATATTTGATCATCTATGTAAATAATTTTTATGAGAATAAAAGGCTGAATGCTCTGCTCTTAAAGAAGAACACTTGAGAAAAATTAAGCACACTAAAGCATATTTGTTTTTTTTCATTGCAATATTCTTATTTCATAAATATGCTCACTAAAATAAATAATACAAAAAAGACAGTTTTTAATTTACTTTCTTTGCTGCTGCTTCTGCTGCTAGGTCACTTCAGTCGTGTCTGACTCTTTGCGACCCCATAGACGGCAGCCCACCAGGCTCTGCCGTCCCTGGGATTCTCTAGGCAAGAACACTGGAGTGTGTTGCCGTTTACTTTCTTTAAATTCCTTCAAACTCAGGAAATGTCTGTATAACTTAGTAGCATATTTAGGTGGTAGAGGGGACTCAGTTGAGTGTGTGGTAAACTGGTTCTTCATATGATTATTTTTTTTCATCAGATATTTTAACATTTTTTAAAGTCTGCACATTTGAACAGTGTAGATTCCAATAGATTATGCAACAGTTTCATATTTTAATAAAGCAGTTTACCTACCAATTTCTTTTTCTTTTAAAAATATTTCTTACTACATTAAATATTCACATGGCTTCCACTGTTTACATGGCATTGTATTTGCCACTCTTTGAAATGCATCTTCTGGAATGCAGACTTTCTGTAAATATAAAATAGCTACCTAATCAAGTTTTCATATCACTATCAAACTATTTTTGAGATCAGGTGTCAAAGCTAAAACTGCAAGTGAATTTTTTGAGACAGACTGTCTGTTAACTTCATTCAGAATGGCAGATTCTTTCCTACCAGAAAATTACTTTTTTTTCCCCTTCCTCAAATAATAATAGGCAAAATAAATTCAATTCAAATTGACATTTTCTCAGATATAGTTTAGTCATTTAGACATTGGAGGACTTCAGCTTTTAGAACTTGTAAAAAGTAACCATCCTTTTTTGTGGATTTAAAAATAGTCCTCAAAGACTTTGACTCCTGATAGATGACTGTACCATTCCTTATAGAATCATTAGGCTATTAAATTCTAGAATAATGTATCTTTATTGTTTTAATTCCTATCACTCATGAATATTAATCTAAATAATTCCTGTAAGGAAAAATGGATTCCTTACATGATTACTTCAGAGAATGTCTTTTGATGACATTGATAAAATCTTATGAGTAAAGGGTATGTTGATGAAGAACTTGTTATCTCCCTACTTCTTTATTTGTAAATGAGAATTAACAACATCTGAATCAGAATGTAGTTTTTAGCAGGAAATGAAATAATGTGTTACTTAGTATTTTTCCCAAAATATAGTAGGATCTTAATAAATGTAAGTTTTTGTTCTAATATGCTGATTTGTAGCTCAGCAATGGTGGAGCATGTTGAAATAGTGGTACTTGACAAAATATTGATAAATCTTATATTGCTAAAGAAAAAAGAGCACATATATAACACCACTTAGTCAATATTATGAGAGAGTGGTAGAATTTTTCACTGCTTTTTAAAAATCAAGATGCCTATCTGCATAATATGAAAAAAATTTAAGCATGTAATAACATTGAATAACAATAAAAATTGATTTTAAACATTTCCTGTTTAAAGTTCAGACCAAAAATGAAATTGATAGACACTGTAGCCATTGTTTAATTTTACTTCGTGAGTAGATGGCAGAGAATTAAAAACTGACCTGCTTTTGCCAGACAGAAATTTTGGTAGCCAGTGAAATGATACACACTGAAGGAAAAACACAGCATTTTAAACTGAGAAAAATCATCTTTATGATACATTAATTGACTGAAAATCCAGGATATTATACTGGATATGGCTGATGGCAGGTGTTACTTTATTTTCAGAAAAATCTTTAATTCATAAAGATTATAAATAAAGGATGGATTTTAAAGCTAATGTCCTATGACAAAGAAAATTTACACTTGTAAATCATCTTTTTCTCTTTCATTATTCTGTAATAATTCTTTGAAACAAACCTGAGAAATACTCACTGCAGTCCACTATGTATCCTATGTCAAATGTTTTATTTCTGTTGCTGTGAGAATCTGTTGAAAGCAGTACTGTGTTAATTACAAAGACTTCATCAGTTTAAAAGATTTCAGATGGATACCATGAATTACAAACTACCTAAGTAAAGGCTGCATTAAAACTAAAATTTATTTTGATCACATCTATTCTAATTCCAATTAGGATAATGTTCAGTTAGAACAGATGTATGTTAAAAATATTATTTTATTTTTTTGTTTTCACATCCATAGTTGAGTCAAATCTTAATGTTTAAGTCTAGAGTTGGATGGTGACTGGGAAAAGGAAGAAGAAAATGCTTTCTTTGAGTTCCCAAAGGCTTATATGCAAACTAGTAGTAATTTGGATAAACATCACTAGAGTGTATTTTGTATTAATCAATAGAATTTTTTATCTTTATGTTAAGAACACAATTATATACTAATATATCAGTTCAACAGTTAATGAGCATTTTATCTATTCCTTATCAAAACAAGTCCATGAGTTAACACCAATAGTTCTAAGAAATAATTGGGAAAAGTCTTAAAAAATGATGCCTCCTCTTTCTCTCTTTACTGTCTTATTTAAGAACCCCCTTTTCATTGCTAATAGCAATATTTATTACTCTTACATTACAACTGTCTTCCTAGGTCATCAAAGTATCTTGAAATCCATTAATGAATAATTAAGTGTAATAACAGCTTACTTTGTGACCTTTTCCAATGTTTAGATAACACACAGTTTTCTGAAGTATTCAACATATTATAAACTTATTATAAATAAAAAGTATTTAAGTCCATCACTTCATTTGAAATTATTTAAGCATTCATTAATTATACACATAAATGCATATAATTTAAAGCACAGACAGCAACAACAAATGAGTTGATTATTTTAATGAACATGTGGTGTTGTTTTCACTTGGATGTGGGCTAAGCATTAAACAAACATATTATAGTGACAGAATCTCTTTAGCGTTTCCTGATAACAACCCATTAATAGTTTGTGTTTCTGTTATGTACTATAATATTTCTAATTCTCCCATTTCTTATCTTATAGGAAATAAATGATGTGGATGTACAGGAACTAGTAAGAAGGTCGATTGGAAGGTTAACCATCATTCGACAGACATTTCCAGTCCCCCAGAATATAAGTCAGCGATGTTTCCGCGGCAACCATCGAATATCTTCAACATTGTGTGATCCAAAGGATCCATTTGCTCAGAATATGGAGGTATATTCTAAGCACCCAGATATTTCTTTAAGGATTTTTTTTGATCAGTTGTAGAGAGACATTTTCTGGTGGCATTGCATTCAGAATTCTACATGTTTCCATTTTTGGTCCAGAAATTTCATAAGTCTACTGTGAAGAGTGCTAAGAATCTGTCTTTGATTGTTCTAAATCTCATCACAGCAAAATATCTATTTGATAAAAATATAATCAGTAAAAGTTATTCTCTTTTCAGCAAGTAGATCAATAGAATTTCTCATGGTAGAATTTGTGATTGATACTCCTTAATGCTAAACTCCAAATTATTAAGCAAATAAATTTGTTTGCCTTTTCTGGCATAACACGGATATAGAAGCTTATTCCTTTTTAAAGATTAATTTCTGGTTGGAAGGACTTCACAAGAAAAATATTTAGAAATCCGAAAATGCAGTAGTGTTTTATAAAGTTATATCCAACTCAGATGGGAGATAGCTGAAACCTTTGCTATTTAGAATACAACAAAGAATTTGAAAGTAAATGAATACAATCTCTGAGCAGCAAAACGAAAAAAAAAAAAAAAGAACATCAAGTCCCTGTAGCTTACACATAAGAATGCCCTTTTAATACTCATCCGGATCGTATTTCTTTTTCTTAAGGAAACTCCTATCAGAATTTTTTGTGTTATTTCTCTTTGCACTGGTCATCTCAAAATGTCAGTTTGAAGGAGGTTTGACAAAGGCAGGCACATCAACAAGAATAGGGCATAGGAAGCCCTGTAAGGAGACAAGAAACATAAAAAGAGAAATCAAAGAGATATGCTAATTCAAATATCCTATCAGAGCAGGACCTTCTCTGTAAAACAACTCTACATTATAATACAGCTCCAAGTGTATCACTATAGTATATAGCTAGTTTATTAGTTAATATTTAAACAGTAACCCTGAGATACCAAGAAAGATTAAAGTCATGGTCAATTTCATAACTAGGAAAAAACATAGGATCTATTTTAGAAACCTATTCCTTCAAAATGTTTAATAGAAATAGTATTTTAGTACTTAGAGATGTTCAGATTGAAAAGGCTGGAAAAATAATTCTAGGAGAACTAGTTCTTTCCTAATAATACTAGATAAATAAGGTGACTTGGCAAAACTACTTCCTTGTTTGAAAGATAACAGCTTCCCTATTTTTAGTCGGCTTTGAATATTTTAGATAAATTGCCATTTATCTAACCATTTCTTCATACTTATTACCACTGTAATGCTGCTGCTGCTGTCGCTTCAGTCGTGTCCGACTCTGTGTGACCCCATAGACAACAGCCCACCAGGCTCCTCTGTCCACGGGATTCTCTAGGCAAGAATACTGGAGTGGTTTGCCATTTCCTTCTCCACCATTGTAATGATCAGTGTGTATTTACCCAACAACTGGCTCTGGAATCATTGCCCACAGAACTTTGCTAGTAGATTTTTAAGCTCCTTTAGAATAAGTTCCCTCCAGGCATCATAATCACATTAAGTATTTGCCTTTCTTTCTTTTTCCCATCATACCTACCATGGTGCTTTTAACCTTTGTAAAAATTTGGTTTTGAAAGTAATTGATAAGAAAACAGAAGTCAAAGTGAGCCACTCAAGCCTCAACAGGGTTTAAGTTTTCTACTTCTAATGACGTATCTTTTGATATTAATTGGTTCTGAATATAATTGATGTGGAAATGATAGAATTTTAAATAGAAATATGAAGGAACTTTGATTTAGAAAATCAAGAGATATTAAAGGCTGTTTCTGTTGAAAGAGGTAGTAGGAAATATACAGATTGGGAAAGCAGAAAGGTATTGCACAGTATTTCAAAGCATATTTGCCTAACAGCACAATCCTGATTCAGTTGAGTTCCTTGAAATCAGGGAACAAATATTCTGTTTATCTTTGTATTCCCAGACATATCTAATGAATTAAGGATGTAGTGGAAGTAACACTCCTCCTGCCCCATACCTTCATCATACACCCCTCAAAGCTACAGATCGAAGAAAGCTGGAAGATTACTTTTCTTTGTGAATTTATTGTGTATTAACATCCCTTTTATATGCAATAGAATTTGACTAAATGTTTAATATGTAAAAGGAAAACAGAAAGAAACTTTTATATGTGAAGATTTATATAGTGCCTAAATGCTGGGCTCTTGAATTTAAAATGTTCCACTAAAAGTGGAGCATTTGATAAAAAGTCTGGCTTTGGTGTATGTTTTATCTCACTGAAGTTAAAGAAAATAACAAGAAAAATACTTTAAAAATTGAGAGTAAGGAGTTCCCTGGGAGAAACAACCCTCTCTCAACTTGGAGTCCACAGTGAAGATAAAAAGAATCACAGATAGACATATATCTTATCAGCAGGATCCAACTTAAAGAAAAACTTAGGAAAAAAGATATGAAAATATGATTCTTGTGACCCCTAAAAATAGAAACCCAGCAGTCACAGTAATCTGTACAACAGAGGAGAAGAGGGTACATCTACAGAAGAGGGTGAGCATCTAGAGATCTCTGGCCTGTTACATGTTTTAGTGTACACGGAAAGGGAAATAATATTTTGTTGTTGTTTAGTCGCTCAGTCGTCTGACTCTCTGTGATCCCATGAACTGCAGCATGCCAGGCTTCCCTGTCCCTCACCATTTCCCAGTATTTGCTCAAACTCATGTCCATCGAGTCAGTGATGCCATCCAACCATCTCATCCTCTGTCGTCCCCTCCTCCTGCCTTCAGTCTTTCCCAGCATCAGGGTCTTTGGCAATGAGTCAGCTCTATGCATCAGGTGGCCAAAGTATTGGAGCTTCAGCTTCAGCAACTGTCCCTCTACTGGGGAAGCCTAAGTAATATTTAGAAAGAACAAAAGCCAAGTTTCCTCAGTCTTTAAATTAGTGCCAGAAAGACTAAAATTCAGAGTTAACTGAAGTTGCAAAATAAATGTCAAAGATACCTTTCAGCTAGAAACAGAGTTTTTAGCAATATATGAAGCAAGAAGGAAGGAAGCCATTTACTGCTTGATGAAACTAATGCTGTCTTCCCAGGCAGCATGATGTAAAGAATCCTTCTACCAATGCAGAGATGCAAGAGATGTGAGTTCGATCCATGGGTCAGGAAAACCCCTTGAAGTAGGAAATGGCGACTTATTCCAGAATACTTGCCTGGGAAAGCCCATGGACAGAGGAGCCTGGTGGGCTACAGTCGGTGGGGTCGCGAAGAGTCAGACATGACTGAGCACACACACAAAACTAACGTTAGTTTGGCTGCTGATGGAGAGAAAACAGAGACATTCAAATCCTTTTGCTTCTGTTTCTCCATCTTAAAATTGGAAAGATTAGGATAAAAGTCATTTAAAGAAAAGTAAACCATTAGATTTTAGATTAGAAGGAGCACGTGTTGGAGGTGGTCAGAGTATGCCTTACTGTTCTCAAATGAGGCCTGAAAAATAATTTCTCAAAGCAGTTAATAAAGCTGTAGATATGATCACAATGTTGTAATTTAGAAATATTAGAGAAATACTTAGGAAGAGGACCCAAGTACAAGGCATTGGTATATTGTCCCAGTTTTCCAAAGGGAGGTAGAAAGATTCTGACAACAAGCGGTTAACACACTAAAATTAATATTCAGATACATTTCTGTTGTTCAGTTGCTCAGTCCTGTCCGATTCTTTGTGACTCCATGCAGTGCATCATGTCAGGCTTCCTAGTCCTTCGCCATCTCCCAGAAGAATATACTATTAAATACATGAGTTGAGGAACCTTAAACAAGATAATAGGATTTCCTTAAGAACAGGCATCACTGAAGCCTACTTAATATTTTTTTTTTAGGTTTAGATAATGTCATAAATCTTTTTATTGTTTGCTGATTTTAATGTAATGTTTGAAAAATTTTCCTTTTAGGAAAACATTAGAAAGTCTATATAAATTGATGTCATTCAAACATTTTCACCAAAGACTACTAAGAACAAAAGATAGTAAACATTTTGGCTTCAGATTCTTTAAAAAGTTCAAAACATAGTCTTATTATTGTCTTTAAAAGTTAATATATGGGTTTCTTTAAAATTAAAAGTAATATAATTTGAATCAAGATTTCTGGGAGAAATATCAATAACCTCAGATATGCAGATGACACCAACTTTATAGCAGAAAGGAACTAAGGAGCTTCTTGATAAAGGTGAAGGAGGAGAGTGAAAAAGCTTGCTTAAAACTCAGCATTCAGAAAACTAAGATTATGGCATCCGCTTCCATCACTTCATGGAAAATAGATGCGGAAAGAATGGAAACAGTGTGAGACTTTATTTTCTTGGGCTCCAAAATCACAGCAGATGGTGACTGCAGGCATGAAATTAAAAGATCCTTGCTCCTTGGAAGAAAAGCTATGACAAACCTAGACAGCATATTAAAAAACAGAGATGTTACTTTGCCAACAAAAGTCTCTATAGTCAAAGCTATGGTTTTTCCAGTAGTCATGTATGGATGTGAGAATTGGAGCATAAGGAAAGCTGAGTGCTAAAGAATTGATGCTTTTGACCTGTGAGTACTGGAGAGGACTCTTGAGAGTCCCTTGGACTGCAAGATCAAGCCAGTCAATCTGAAAGGAAATCAATCCTGAATTGGAAGGACTGATGCTAAAGCTGAAGCTCCAATATTTTGGCCATCTGATGCGAAGATCTGACTCATTAGAAAAGACCCTAATACAGGGAAAGATTGAAGGAAGGAGAAGAAGGGGATGACAGAGAATGAGATGGTTGGATGGCATCACCGACTCAATGGACATGAGTTTGAGCAAGCTCCAGGAGATGGTGAAGGACAGGGAAGCTTGACGTGCTGCAGTCCCTTGTGTCATAGAGTCAGACACAATTGAGTGAATGAACAACAACAGCAACATTTCAGATAGTAATCAGCTAAACTACTTTGTTTTGTCTCCAAATCTTCAGGCAAAATTGATAAGCCTAGAACATGGCCCAGATGTATTATGTAGCTTTGAGTACATTTAATATTTACAGCTTATCGCCAGAGCTTCTCTTACCCTCAGTTTGGGAAGTATGGAACTAGTGGAATAGTAAAACCACACTGATAAATATTCTATTCTTGAAGTGCAAGGAATTCTCTATGGTTATCCAAAGAGTCTGTCTTTGGATCTAGGGCTTCCCTTGTGGCTCAGCTGGTAAAGAATCCGCCTGCAATGCAGGATACCTGGCTTTGATCCCGGGTTGGGAAAATCCCCTGGAGAAAGGAAAGGTTACTTAGTCCAGTATTCTGTCTTGGAGAATTCTATGGACTGTATAGTTCTTGGGGCTGCAAACAGTTGGAGATGACTGAGCAACATTTGTTTTCTGACTTCATTGAACCATCAACACCAACCTCCTATACATGCCAACTTTCCAATATCTGACACCTTCTTTGACTTGCTCTGAAACATTCTCTTTCCTTTAGTAGTTGATTACCTGGTATAATTTCTAGGCAGCTCATTATCTCAGCATTCTTCCTGTCTTTCTCTTATTTTTCAGTGTTTCTGTTGAAAGTTTAGTACTCAGAACTAACTTTATTTGCAGATGTGAATTGACCAGGAGAGGTTTGAATAAAATGTCATCTCTCTTGATCTTAACAAAATGCTTCTGACACAGAGATTGAGATAACATTATGATGGTTTGGAGCAAATATTACTTCTGCTATGTTTCAGTGAAGTAAGAAAACAGATGTTGTTAGGGTAGATAGAGAGAAACGATTGGTCAAATGGCAGGATGCTGATGTTTAAGATGTTAGAGGAATTGTTCATTTGTGTCTAATAAATAGTCAGTTGTGCTGGTCATGGCCAGAGTAGAAGCAAAAGTCATCTGAATGAAAAGTGACCAAGAGGTCAGTAGGTAATGGCAGAGAGGAGCTGTAATGTGTGGCATGGTAAACAGCACAAACCTCAAAAGAGAATAGGAACTTGCTAAGAAAGAAGTAAAAGAAGGGATAATAGAAAGCTCAGGGAAGGTCATCACCCCCTTTTGATTCTGCAGTTTGGGATGTGAGCAAACAGAGAGAGGCAGTCATTTGTCAAAAACACTTGGCACATATTGACTACAAATCACTGACCTTTTAGTCCAGCATGGATGCTAAAGTGCATGCCTCTAGATATGCAAAGGAGACTATGCCATGAGAAGTGTCACCAGTTGTCAGATCGCTCACATCTTGACTTCTGTTAAACCTAACTGATGTTAAACTAGACTTTCTTTTCTTTGACTTTCTTTCTTTGACAACTATTTATCAAAAACCAAATATGTGCTAGACTCTGGGCTAAGTCAAGAGGAAATAAAAAATAAGGGAAACAAAAAGTGCAAAATGCAAAAATATTGCAATATGAGGCCCTAGCCAGAAGGAACTTGTATTCTGTGTGAAAAGCAATTTAAAAGAAATCTTAGCATTCTGATATGCTTCAATAGAGATATGCACTGAGTGTTCCGGGAGATAAAACAAGAACTGCCCACCTAGCCTGGGAGTGGGGAAAGTCCTGAGAAGTTGTCAGGGTAGGATTCACCCAGCCTGTGACCCATGGATTGAGTATGAGAGGAAGTTAACTAGTTAGAGACAGATAGAGACATCAGAGGATGTTCCCACAACTATCTCATCTACACTCTTGAAGCAATCAGTCAGAGGGTGAAACAAAATAAAGCTAGGTTGCTTAGAGCAAGAGAGTTTGAGGCAGTGGAGCCATGAGAGGTTAGAAAAGGTCAAATTATTGTAGATTATTGAGAAATATCCAAAGATTTGCCCCAGACTTTTGGATACAACTCATTCATCCTTCACGTCTCTTCTCGGTTTACCTTTTGGGTCTTCAATCTAATTCAGATGAAGTTCATGTCATCAGCTATTTTTAACTGCAAGCATTATTCTTCATTCATTGCCAGTTACAGCCATCTCTCTAGTCTATCTAGGAATTATCTGGTGGGGTGGGGGCGAAGATGAGAATGGCCTATCCAAATATTTCCTTATAAAGAACAAACTGATATTTCGTGTGGTGCATAAGAGTATTCAAAGTCTCTTTAAAGGAAAGTCTACAAACACAAGTGGTTAAAGATTTACCTAGTTAGAAAATTCAAAGGCACTGTTAGGAAGTGCTTATTAACAGTTGTTCAAATTCTCATCATGTTAATAGTTGAAGTTTAGTGGCATGCTGTGATGTGGGCAGAGAGTTTCATAAGATTTCTTCATGATAATTATAAGCAAAGGGTAATCAAAGTACTGTCCCCTTTATTTTCAAGAAAAAATGTGATAACAAGACTCTACAAAATCTGAGAAGATTTACATGCTTAAAATGGGTTTATTTTTTATAGCTATATTGAGTTCTTATTTTTTTATTTTGTATTGTTTATTTTCTTCAGAGAGGAAATAATATAGCATTTAAACACTGTTGTTGACCTTGGATATCTCATGGTGTCTATATTTTTTAAATGTTATTTCTAAATTATTTAAAAAATAGACAACATTGGTAATTAACAGGGAGGATAGTGATTCTGGCAAACTGTAAGAATGCAATACAGTGTATCAAATATTCATATAATTTATTTTAAAATCTGTGTAGAGGAAAGTTAATATGATTACCTTAGAAGAAGAAATCATTAATGTAAATACACATCCACAAACAGCAGTTTATGGTATTTGTCATGTTAATTGCAATGCACCTGTATATAATTTTGTATAGACCCTAGATCATTGTAATGTTTATGAATGGTGCTGTTTCCTTTCACTTTTTCATTAATGAATCTCCATAGACACAAACATATAGGCAGATGGTAGCGTCCAGCACCTATGACATTCATCTTCCATGTAAAATCAAGTTGATATTTCTCCATCTGAAAAACCAGAATGAAAAAATTTGACATCTTCAGAAAATGTATTATTCATTTTCCCTTCCAATCTTAAGCCCTTAGATCCTTACTTCCTCAGAAAGAAATAAGGACCAGTGATTTTCTAAGGTCTGACACTAACAACCTTGCCTCTGTCGAAACTCCTCTTTTTTATCATCTCTCTCACACCTAAATAAGGTGAAAAAGCAGTTGAGGCACACAATCAGACAAGACTTCAATCTCAATAGCAAAATTGCCCAGGAAATGAAAAGAAGAAAACTTCTGCTTAATAACTAACCCAGTAAACCAGCTATCTATGACATGAACAGAAGCTTTTCTCCTTATTCTTGATGGTTGGCATCAATGATTCTAATGATTACTGTCTAATGTCCTTTCAGATTTCAAACCTTTACATATATGACACGGTGCTTCTGCTTGCTAACGCTTTTCATAAGAAGCTGGAGGACCGGAAGTGGCACAGCATGGCTAGTCTGTCATGTATCAGAAAGAACTCCAAGCCCTGGCAGGGAGGGCGCTCCATGCTGGAGACCATCAAGAAGGTAATTTCTAACTAGCTTTTGTTTTTTCAAAATTCATCCATTAGTTTGTTGTTGTTGTTAATTTTGTTTTTTTATTGAAGTACAGTTGATTTTACAATGTTGTGCCAATCTCTGCTATAGAGCAAAATGACACAGTTATCCACATATAGACATTTCTTTCTTTAATATTCTTTTCCATTATGGTTTATCACAGGATGCTGCTTATAGTCTCCTATGCCATGCAGTTGTCTATCCATCCTATATATAATAGTTTACATCTGCTAATCCCAAGTTCCCAATCCATCCCTCTCCCACATCTCTTCCCCCTTGGCAACCACATGTCTGACTAGCATTTTGGTCTTCCTAACTTTTTTGCAAAGAGGAACAATACGTCATTGATGAGATATATTTTAGGATTTTTTTCTTCACTAATATTGCTGCCTATTCAGAGCACAAAATAGTGTAATGGATAAATTAAATATTAAAAAATAAATCAAGGGCTTCCCCCGTGGCTCAGTGGTTAAAAATCTGCCTTGCAATGTAGGGGACACAGGTTTGCTCTGTAGTTCGGGAAGATCCCACATGCCATGGGGCAATTAAGCCTGTGTGCTGCAACTACTGAACCTGTGCTTTAGAGTCCTCGAGCCACAACTACTGAGCACTCCACAACTAGAGAGTAACCCCTGCTCTCAGAAAAACACACACACACACACACACACACACACAGAGCAATGAAGACCCAGCACAGCCACAAATAAATAAAATTGAAATAAATATTTAAAATTTTCAAGGTGAGAAAATCACATGTCTATGAAGTAGGGAGCCCTTATTTATTCATAAGGAAATTTTATGCAGATAAAAAATTAATCATTGAAATATTTTAATTCACCTTCATTGCATCATTAGTGTCAGAGATGCTCAAATTATTCAGTATCTGTCACAAAGTACAGAAAGTCACTTTTTTTCTCTAACCCATCATCCCCTGAAAAAAAAAAAAACACTAGATCTAGGTGTTTTTCAGTTAGATGATACATGGTAAGACACTAGATGTGATCTTTAATTTGCCTTACAATAAAAATATAAGTCATAAACAGTCAATATTTTGGTGCATTTGTGAGCTATTTGGGGTACTTGATGGTATTCTTCTTCACTGTCAGTGTGGTATTTAGCCTGCCTGTGACCTGCTTTAGCTCAGCTACCCGCTCCATTCCCAGAAGGCAGTTTATGTTGCTTAGCTCCTCTCACAGTTATAAGCATCCAGCAGTTTATTAGCCTCTTTGTCATGTCATCCTTGCTGGCATTTTCCATTTGTCTCACACAGCTTCTTGGATTTAAAATGAAATGATTAATAAAACAAACAAATTTCCCCTGTACCCTTTACACAAAGGAGACAGTCATTTGGAAGTTTATATTCTTCATTTTATGCATCCTTTTTCTTACTGCAAGCATTTGCCTTTTTTCCTGAAATAGTAAGAGAAATAGCTAGTCAAATGAAATATGAAGTGTTTAGAGATGCCAGAGAAAAATCTAAAAATTAACATTAAAAGGGAACTAGATGTACAAAAACCAGGAAGTGGAGGGAAAAATGTTTCTCATAGAGAAAAGCTTGCATTTTCCTCTTGGTGCTGTATCCTCTTTGCAGAAGAATCACTTTAATGAGAATTTAGGCTCTTATCAACAGAAGTGCTTGAGAATTAAATTGAATACATTGGCAGAGGAGGATTTTTTAAGTGAAAAATGAATAAGTCAAATCTAAACTCAAGGTGTTGCCAAAATCCCCCAGCTCTATTTCTATGGAGAGTTGGCAGGTATGAATCCAAGGGAGGTTGTTGAACATGGTTCCGATCCTGCCAATTTATTAATTCATGGCTTGGCTTGGATGCAGGAACCTGAATATATTCATTCTTCGGAAGCTGTCACACAAAGGCAGAATAATAGTTTGGGAGGTTGCTTAGGAGACACTTATTTAGTGAAAGTATCCGTAGGAGGGAAAAAGAGACACTGTAATATGTAGGTATTTCTTATGGAGCAATTCAATATGTAAAATGTTTCTGTTAGAAAATTTATGATCAAAACAAATGATTTTATATGATAATTATGAAGTTTTGTTTGGGAGAATATTTGTATATTTTTTCCTGTAAACTTGCAAGCCAGTAGCATTTTTTAAAGGAATATATCTATATTCTATATCTAAAGGCTAAGTTTGAATGATATGTATGATAACAAAAGTTCTGTTTCCTTATTTTTTTTCCTCACATTTTGAATTGGCCTTGAAAAGATAGTCATGTTTTACCAATCATATTACTTTGCCTCACCTGAGTGTTTTGTGATGTCCAGGCTGATGACACTTCACAAAACAAGATGATTTACTACTTGCACAGGACCTCCTGAAGAGAGCAGAGTGGCCCGTGCAGGCCCAGGCTGGCTGTAGCAGAGCGCTGTGAATGGGCAGGACAGTTATAGTAGTTAAGGGGGAAGCTGAGAATAGTTCCCATTTACTTGGGCTGGAGATTTTATAGGCTTAAATTTTCCAGGGGTTTCAAAGAAGGAGATCCATGATGGGCTTTCTTGATCAGCCTGTCCATATGTAGGGCCTAATGAGAAAGGCAGCTTAAAAAGAAGTCAGCTGCTAAACATCACAGATGAGGTCAGGCTCTTCATTACAATGGGAATATTCTGGTGATAAAATTCTTAATTGCATTCAAGTAGCCACTGCACACCTATAATCTGACCATGTACTGTACACTTTACAAAACCTATGTACTAATGCGAGGAGTGCGTTTTTAGTTGCTTGGTTCCGACTCTTTGTAACCCTTTGGATTGTAGGCTGCCAGGCTCCTCTGTCCATGGGGTTCTTCAGGCAAGAATACTGGAGCAGGTTACCATTTCCTACTCCAGAGGATCTTCTGGATCCAGGGATCAGAAAACAGATTCTTTATTGCTGAGCCATCAGGGATTTCCAATGTAAAGTGTATAAAGAATTAAAAGAGTGAATGTCTGTCCTTTAATTAATTTGCATTCTCATCATGTAGATGAGATAAAAAGAGTTAAAAAAAAAAACAATGCAGTTGACATGAACCTATAATGTCCAGTAAGAAGGAGGTGGTGGTTTCCAAGGAACTTTATAATTTATTTTGTTGCTCTTGTTGTTCTGTTATTCAGTCATGTCCGACTCTTTGAGACCCCATGGACTGCAGCACACCTGTCCTCCCTGTCCTCACCATCTCCCAGAGCCTGCTCGAACTCATGTCCAATGAGTCAGTGATGCCGTCCAACTATCTCATCTTCTGTCATCCCCTTCTCCTGCCTTCAATCTTTCCCAGCATCAGGGTCTTTTCTAATGAGTCAGATCTTTGCATCAGGTGGCCAAAGATTTGGAGTTTCAGCTTCAGCATCAGTCCTTCCAATGAATACTCAGGATTGATTTCCTTTAGGATTGACTAGTTGAGCCTTCTCCAGCACCACAGTTCAGAAGAATCAATATTTCGGCCTCAGCCTTCTTTAGGGTCCAAGTCTCACAACCATACATGACTACTGGAAAAACCATAGCTTTGACTATATGGACCTTTGTCAGCAAAGTAGTCTCTACTTTTTAATATGCTGTCTAGGTTAGTCATGGCTTTCCTTCCAAGGAGCAGGTCTCTTTTAATTTCATGGCTGCAGTCCCCATCTACAGCAATTTTGTGAATTGGTAGAGTGGGTGCCTTTGTATTTATCTTCTTTTTTCAATAATAAGAGACTAATTTTCAAGTGATCATTTCTTTCAGAGAATATCAGCACCCCCAAGCCATTTCTATTTACATGGATTTTATAGATTATTTTTTAGAAAGTTATAATTTTTAAAATAATGAACCTTTCATTCATAGACATGGTATCTATCTATATAGTCATCTTCTTATAACCCTCAGTAAAGATTTATGGTATTCTTCATATGTATTTTCATTGTTTTCATTCCTGAAATTTCACAGGGTTTTGAATATGCTCACCTGTGTGTATGTGTGTGTTTGCACACACTATCATGGATTGGATATGTTTCCATTATATTTTTAAACTAGTCATCGTACATACAATGAACTGACCTGACTGACTTTTGATACACAACTCTGGTTTCTTACTTCTTTCTTTGGAGTTTATTCCCTTATGCTTTTAAATACATATTGATATTATCTTTCAAAAAGTCCTCAGTACTTAATTCTAATACTTTAAATGTTTTTAAAGCTTTGAAAAAATATTTTCTTGGTACATTTGGGAATGCAGTCTACCAGGTACTCTTGGAGTCCTTCAGGCTTTGGAGCAGTAAACTTCCCTTCCTGCAAGAAAGGGAGCCAGGCCACCTCTGTGTCAGAGACAATGATGCCAGGATTCTACCCATGTAACAGAGCTGCAGATGAGGCTGGCCAGGCCTGGAACTGGCTGACAGAGCCCTGTTATGCAGGACATAGTATTTTCCAGCTCTCCTCTGATACACTCTTCAGGAATTCCTCTTGGTTTTGTTCTTGGTTGACCAAACAACATATGTTACTCTCAGCTTTTAGATAGAGGAAACCCCAAGCAATGGTGTTATGGGCATACCCATGAGGCAGGCCTGACCTGGGGCCTGCACAAAAATGTCTGCAGGTGGTTTTACAGCATGGGCCAACAACAGAAAATAGAATGGCCGGCGAGCAGTTTCTAGGACAAAAACATGTGGTTTGAGGAACAGATATAAATATGGAAACCTGCAAAGCAAGTTTTTGAGATTTTATTGACCTGGCTAAAGATGAAAATATTGCCATCGATACTGCTGAACCTCTATACATACACTTACTTGGGAAAACAATTATTATTGGGGAGCCATTTTTAAATGTAAACTGTGAACACTTAAAATCTTTTGACAAAAATCCATACAGACAGCTCACCTGCCTCCCACTACAAGTTACCCTAACTTTTAACATGGCTCTCAATGAGATCTTTGACAGTTAACCTGACTCAATCTTAGAATATCAGATTCAAGTAGGACCATTCAGTGTGTTGAATATGAG